AGAAGTCTATATCTCTATTGGGTGGAATCCCCGGCAAATTTGCAGGAAATACTTCTGGAAATTCACGAACAACTGGTACTGAATCCATAGAAGGAACATCCGCACTGGGATCGCGAATATAAGCCAAATAGGCTAGACACCCCTTCTCGACCATACATCGAGCCTTCATATAAGAATTAACCCTGCTGGTAGAATGAACATGAGTTCCTTTCCACTCTAACCGAGGTAACCCCGGCATGGCTAGGGTCACCGTCTTGGCATGACAATCCAATATATCATTATAAGGTGACAGCCAATCCATACCCAAGATGACATCAAAATCTACCATATCAAGAAGTAGAAGATACACACTAGTCTCAAGACTCCCAATAGTAATCACACACGAACGATAGACATGACCTACCACGATAGAATCTCCCACCTGAGTGGACACACAGGAGCACTCAGAGAATCACGAGGCATCACCAGATATGAAGCAAAGTAAGAGGACACATAGTAATTAGTAGATCCTAGATCAAATAGACCTGAAACATCTATATGGAAAACTGGAACAATACCTGTAATCACGACATCAGATAATTCGGCCTCAAGCCTAGCTGGAAAAGCATAAAATCGCGGCTGGGCCCCACCACTCTGAACTGCATCCCTAGATTGGCCTCTAACTGGCTGGCCTCCACCTCTAATGGTCTGACCTCCACCTCTAATGGTCTGACCTCCACCTCTAGCTGCCTGACCCCTACCTCTAGCTGGCTGAGCAAGCGGTGAAGCAAACAGTGCTGAAATCATAGCACGAGAACCATGCTGCTGCATGCTGCCCTTAGACCTGGGGCAGAATCTAGCAATGTGCCTCGGATCACCACAAGTATAACATGACCTCGGCTGCTGTGACTGCTGACCCTGAAATTGTCCCTGTCGACCTAAGTAACCACCCTGAAAACTCTGGATCGGAGGTGCACTAATAGGAGCTGGTGGTGCACTATAGGATGGCTGAAGTGCTGAATGAAACGACCTGGGAGGATGTCCCCTACAAAAATTACCCATGCCTCCAGATGAGGCACCACTGAACCCACCGAACTGCCGAGGCCTCTTATCAGACCCCTACCCTCTCTCCTGTGCAAGAACCATCTTGATCCTCCTAGCAACATTAGCAGCCGCCTGAAAAGAAATCTCACTTCCGGTTTCCTTGGCCATCTGAAGCCTAATAGGGTGAGTAAGTCCCTCAATAAACCTCCTCACTCTCTCTCCCTCGGTAGGAAGTAAAAGGATAGCATGACGGGCTAGATCCATAAAACGGGTCTCGTACTGAGTAACAGTCATACTGCCCTGCTAGAGACGCTCAAACTGCTTGCGAAAATCCTCTCTCAATGTGACAGGGAGGAACTTCTCTAGAAATAGTCATGAGAACTGCTCCCAAGTCAGTGTAGGCGACCTAATTGGTTTGGTAAACATAAAATCTCTCCACCACCTCTTGGCGAAATCCATCATCTGAAATACAACAAAATTAACCCCATTGGTCTCAACTATGCCTATGTTCCGCAGCACCTCATGGCAGCGGTCAAGATAATCCGGTGTGTCCTCCGAAGGTGAACCACTGAAGTGAACTGGAAAGAGCTTAGTCAACTTATTCAGTCTTAATAAGGCCTCAGAAGACATGGCGGGCCTATCATCGGCTTGTGCCACAAAAACTGGCTAAACTACCCCAACTGGCGGGGTAGCTGGAGCCTGATACTATGGAACCATCTGCTCTGGAGCGGAAGTAGTGGGATTCTGTGCTCCTCCCCCAGCCTGTGAGACGGCTGGTGCACTGGAAATGTACCATTCTGGGCCACGCCCTCCATAAGACTCAGCAAACGGACTAGAGCGTCCTAAAGCATCGGAGTAGCTATAAGTCCTTCCGGGACCTGAACTTGTCCAACCGGTACGGTCTGAACGGGAACCTCCTCCTGAAGATCCACTTGAGGTTCTACAACAGGTGCTGATGCTCGAGCTCTAGACTGAGATCTACCTCTGCCTTTGCCTTGGCCTCTAGCACGACCTCGGCCTCGACCTCTACCCCTGGTCATAGTTGCCACCGGGGGTTCTGGTCCTTGTCCATCGGTAGATGTATTACGTGTTCTCACCATCTGCGAGAGAATAAGCATAGAATGGTTCAATCATCGATGATAGAATAAGATCGCACGATAGATTAATAAAGAAGTGATATTGTTCCTAAACTTCATAGCCTCAGAAAGATAAGTACAGACGTCTCCGTACCGATCCTTCAGACTCTACTAAGCTTGCTCGTAACTCGTGAGACCTAAGTAACCTAGTGCTCTGATACCAACTGTCACCTTCAGGATCGTGATGGCACCTAACATTTCACTTGCTAGGCAAGCCAACATTAAAATAATCTTAACTATAAAGTGCGGAAGACCATAAATACCGAATTATCAAAATACATCCCCGAATCTGGTGTTACAAGTGCACGAGCTACCAAAATAATACAAATAAAGGTATGAATAAAATTCAAGCTGTTTGAAAGATAATACACAGCTGAGATAGGATAGAAGGGGACTTTAGAACTGCGAACACTGTGCAGTTATACCTCAAGTCTCCTCTGAGTAGCTGAATCCGAGCACGTCTATGGTATGCTACTGGGACCAACTCCAAAGTCTGCACAAGAAGTGCAGAGTGTAGTATGAATACAACCGACCCCATGTACTCCAAAAGTGTCGAGCCTAATCTTGACGAAGTAGTGACGGGGCTATGACAAGACACGTACGTAAACAAATTGTACAAGTATATACAAATACGAAGCAACAATAAAATAATAAATTAACATGTTATAAATTTGGGAGGGAACATGCAAAGGGGGTTGATATAATAATTTCGGCAGGAGAATTATCACTTAGCAGCCAAATAATTTCTCAACAATAAAATGAGCAACTGATGATATGAAAATGGCACGGCACCACCCTCCGTGCTTTTACTCTCATTTGGCACGGCATCACCCTTCGTGCTTTTACACTCCTTGAAAATGACACGGTATCACCCTTCGTGCTTTTACACTCACAAATGGCACGACAACACCCTTCGTGCTTTTACACTCTTCCTTACCATGACAATGATATTATAAACAATAATAATGGCACGACATCACCCTTCATGATTTTACACTCTTCCTTACCATGAAAATAATAATATAAATTTGGAAGAGTATTTAAATGCGGGAATATGTACTTATCAATCAATTCAATACCAGAATACCGACTTCACCTTCCAAAATATTCAACAATTATTAAATGAATAATAATTTCATGAATAATGATCAAATAACCAATATTAAACTTAAACAGGAATATCTAAAATAAATAGGCAATTATTCATAATAAACAAATTCCACCCGCCTGCTTTGACTCAACCACAACGCATAAGTACTCGTCACCTCACATATCCATTGTACCCGCACATTAAATCACGTAGCAAATAGACAAATAAGTCCTACTCCCTCAAGTCAAGGTTAACCACGACACTTACCTCGCTTTGCAACCAAATTCAAAAATCCAATAAACCTTTGCCTCCCGAATTCGTGTCCGAAATCCTCAAATCTATTCATAAACAATTCAATATACTCAATACAAATGGTAGGAATTAATTCCATATGAATTTACTAATTTTTCGGATTAAAATCCAAAATTCATCTAAAAAATCAACAGTGGGGCCCACATATCGAATATCGGTAAAATTACGAAATCCGAACACCCGTTCCTAGATGAGTCCAACCATAGTAAAATTATCAAATTTCGATGTCAAATGGACCTTCAAATCTTACTTTTTCGTTTTTGGAAAGTTTTACAAAAATTTCAATTTCTTCCATCTAAATCCAAAATAAATGATGAATATAGACATGGATTTATGAAATATAATCACTTTTGGTTATAGAACACTTACCCAATTCAAAGTCGTGAAAATCCCCTTTGAAATTGCCCAAATCTGAGACTTAAAACTCAAAAATGAGTAAAAATAGTGACTTTCGAATTTATGGGCTCTGCCCAACACTTTTTGCATCTGCGGACACATAACCGCATCTGCGGATTCCGCTTTTATGGAAATGGGGTCGCTTCTGCGGGCCGGCTCGCTTCTGCAGACAAGAGTCTGCTTCTGCGAAGAGGAGTCCGCTTATGCGCAGGCTGCCCCTTCCCCCTTTCCCGCTTCTGCGACGCGTGGGCCGCTTCTGCGGTCGCGCTTCTGCGACAGCCCATCCGCTTCTGCGGACAAGGCTTCGTAGAAGCAAAGGCACCAGAAGCAGCAAACTTCCAGATTTTGCTTAAGTCCAATTTTTGCTCCGATTTCGATTCGAATCACACTCGGGGTACTCGGGATCCCGTTCGAATATACCAACAAGTCCCATAACATAATACGGACTTACTCGGGGTCTCATATCACGTCAAACAATGCTGAAATTATAATTTACACCTCGATTCAGACTTTTGTTTTTTCAAACTTTTTGATTTGCAAAACGCGTGCCAAAACATATTAAACGAATCCGGAATGACTTCAAAATTAGCACACAAGTCATAAATGACATAACGGAGCTATTCTAGTTTCCATAATCAGATTCCGGGCTTGATATCAAAAAGTCAAATCCGTGGTCAAACTTGAAAATCTTTAACCTTTAAATTCCTAGTTTCCGTTAAATGGTCATAACTTGAGCTAGGGACCTCCAAATTAAATTCCGGGCATACGCTCAAGTTTCAAATTATGATACAGACCTACCAAAACTGTCAAAATACTGATCCAGATTTGTTTGCTCAAAATGTTGATGAAAGTCAACTTAGTTGAGTTTTTAAGGCTCTAATTCACATTTTAATCTATTTTTCACATAAAAACTTTTTGAAAAATTATACGGACTGTGCATGCAAGTTGAGGAATGATAAATAGTGCTTTTTGAGGTCTTAGAATATAGAATTAATTATTAAATTTAAAGATGACTTTTTGGGTCATCACAGAAGGCCTATGACATGGTTAGATGGGATTTCTTAGCAGAGATGATGCTAGGATTTGGTTTTCCGAGCAACTTCACACAGCTAGTTATGACATGTGTGACCACTACTACTTTTTCTATCAAAGTGAATGGTACAGGGCATGGGTATTTTGAAGGGAAGAGGGGCCTGCGTCAAGGGGACCCAATCTCTCCATTGTTATTTGTCATGGTCATGGAGTACCTCTCAAGAATTCTAAATAGGATGAGCCAGCTACCAGACTTCAGACATCACCCATTGTGTAAAAGACAGAAGCTTACACATTTGGTTTTTGCTGATGATCTAATGATCTTCTATAAAGCAAATGATAGCTCAGTGAAGAGGGTCATGGAAGCATAAAACCACTTTTCAGAGGCATTTGGGCTAGTGGCCAACATTGACAAATCACACATATTCATAACAAGAGTTGACAAGGAGACAAAAGCAAGAATAGTTCAAATGACTGGCTTCACCCTGGGAAATTTCCCTATCAGATACCTGGGCCTTCCCCTATCCCCCGAAAAGTGGAATAAAATGGAGTATCTCCAATTGATTGTCAAGATTACAGAGAAAATTAGGGCAAATTCTTCAAGACATCTATCATATGCTGGGAAGCTACAGGTAATAAATTCTGTGCTATTCTCAGTTCATAATTTTTGGGGTGTAGTATTTGTGTTGCATCAAAGTGTGTTGAACGAGGTAGATAGGAAGTGCATGGAGTTTTTATGGGGAAGCTCAGAAGAGAAAAAGAAATTATCTTTAGTTTCATGGGAGAAAATTTGCAAACCTAAGAAGGAGGGTGGTTTAAATGTAAAAGGATGTAAGAACTGGAATAAAGCTTCTGTAGGTAAAACGATTTGGTTGATTATGGAAAACGCTGATAACCTATGGGTAAAATGGGTAAATTGTCTCTATATGAACAATGGAGTGGATTTATGGAATCACATACCTCAGGATGATAGTAGTTGGTATTGGAAGAGGCTACACAAACTGAAGTTTTGCATGGTGAACTGGTATAGGGATGGAAGATATAGTATGAATGCAAATGGTAAATATTCAATCATGCAAGGATACCTAAAACTGATTGGGGACATACCAAAAATAGAAATTGCAGAGTTAGTGTGGAACAAAATCAGTCTACCAAACCATAGGTTCATCCTGTGGTTGGCTGTTCAAGGTAGGCTATTGACAAAGGAAAGGAGGTTGACAATGGGACTACAATGTGAAAATACTACGTGTGTACTATGTGACGGAGCTAGAATGGAGAATGCTATACATCTTTTTTCTAATTATGTATGGTCTACGCAGCTGTGGGAGATGTTGAACCAATGGAGTGGTACCAGACTTCAGCAGCAGGATGCTCTACAATCCTTAAGCAGAATAGAGGGTAGGAGATGGAGTATGATGAAGAAGAGCATTATCGCAACAGTGTATGGAGCAGGTTTATACCAGATTTGGCAGGCAAAAAAATGGAAGATGTTTAGGGACTCTATTGTACAGAGTAATATCATAGTGCAACAGATTCAAAGTGAAATTAGAGAAAGAGTGGACATGATAAAGAATTCAAAACGATCTAGGAAGGCTAAATACATAATACATAGGCTATGTAGCTAGTGGTAGATACTGGATGTCGTAGATGAGTTAATTTGTTTGAATTTTTTTCTTTTACTGAGGCTTTTCCTGGAATCATCAGGTAAAGTGCTCTCTCTTTGTAAATCTGAATTTGTTTGACGGACTGGTAATACAATTTCACATTTATTACCAAAAAATAAATAAATAGGCCACATGTTAATTAGTGGATTATAAAGGACTTTAGATCTAATTTAAAGGTGAAAATAAGCGGGACCAAGCTCATACCTTATGCTGTCACCTGTTTATACAATCTAGGGTATTGATATAGGAAATTGTTTAGTGTGTTAGTTCATTAGAAGACAAACAATGCAAAAAAAAAAAAATTTGATGGGTTTGACAACGGCAACCTAATTAAGGCCTTCCAATATTCATTGGGTTTACATTAGGGATTGTTTCGTTCCTATATACTATTTGAAACCTTATTATAAAAAATGTCCATGTTTTTGAATTTACGCGACCTAAACACGATTTAGCTACAAAATATATACATTTGTTTAAACTAAAATCCTTTCTGTGATAGTCTTTCTTATTTAGACGTGAGATTTTTGGATCGCTTAGAGATTTTACTGACGCAATCATCGCACCATAATCAAGGCAACATACTTGTAGAATTCTTCTATTACGCAGATTTTCACTGGTTATCATCGCATCATAATCAAGGCAACATATTTATAGTATCCTTCTATTCTTTGATTTTCTCTGGTTTTCCATAAACAAAGGTTTTGAACAAAACAATTGAAAATAATTAGCTACAACTGAATTGAATTTTCCAACATAATATCAAAATTAACGATTATGTTTTAGCTTAATGGTCGGTGGGATAGCGTTGGGAGATACAAAGATTTTGATGTTGACGGAATTGTAGTCAATGACGATTCAAATTATAGTCAATTGAATTCCATAATTGCAGAGCATCTAATAATCGATACCTCCGCAAAAATTATCAAAATCAAATACACTGTCAATTAATGTTGTCCTCTAATAAGAATTCGGAGCGATATGGGAGTTCGAGTGTATATGGAAACGAAAAAGGAAAATAAAAACTTAGGAATGTATCCGTTGTGTATAATAGTACGTGATTTCTATTTGGAATGCAGTATGTCGAATGCGAGCACAATTGCAGGTTTGCTCTGTTTTTCCAGTTCTGATGTTTTTTCAATTTCAAGTATTTTATAATTTTACTACAAGTTATCTATAATTTTACTACATAACAAATGCAGTTCAATTGTTATGTCTCTACAAGCATTCTATCAAATACTGAACACATGAATATACAGAGGTCTGAATTACTATACTTTTAATTGAGTGCAGGTTCTTCTGTTTATCGTAATACTAACGTGGTACAATTGTCAAGCAATAGTAACAAAATTGGAGAAGTATCAGGAACAATGAAGTTGATTGATATGCAAACATCTCCGGCAATTGTGAAATATGAAAGTATCATCATAATATAACATATGACAAATGTAATTGAAGTAGGCCAAGTTTACCAAGACAAGCAAATAATTGTCAGTGCAATGAAGCACTATTCTATCATGAATAAGTTCCAATTTAGGGTGAAAAGGTTTAGTTCAAGAAGGTAGGAACATTTTATTTGTCAAATTCATATTGTGTATAAGTTGTAGTTGTTTTGTATATAAATTGTTTAAGATAAGTTTTTGTGCATTAACAACCTCGTATTTTGTAGCAACAATTTGCATAATATTTTTTGAATTATTTTTATTCTGTAGCTATTGCCTCGTATGTGTTGGGGACAATTATATGTGGTACTTCAAGTCTACCAGCATAAATGAATCAACATTGTTTAAGGTTTGAAAACTCAACAGCTTGCACACATGCACTTTGATGGACAACACATGCATACAACGCAAACCTACTGCCATGGTAGTTGGAAACATGGAGATGCCAAAATACGCGGATCTAAGACAATATACACACCAAAAGACGTACAAACTAACATGTTGTCAGATCATGGTTTGAACGTACATACATGTAAGCTTGGAGAGAAAAGGAAAAGGCTTTGGAATTTTTGAGAGGTCATCTTGCTGATTCCTACAGTCTCTTGCCGAGTTATTTATATATTCTGGAGAAGACTTATCTGGGGTCGGTATTGAAATTGCAGAAGACTGAAGATGACGGTTTCTTGTATGCATTTATTGCACTTATTACGTACATCAAGGGTTGGGAGCATTGTATGCCAGTTGTTGTAGTTGATGGAACCTTCTTGAAGTCAACATATAGGGGAATCATGCTAACAACTAGCACAATGGATGCAACAGGTAATGTAGATTAATTATAAAAATATTGTTATATAGTTGTTTTTGAGATTGTATTTTTTATATTCTCAAGTTTTATTACAGAAATTGAATTTCTGTTTGTCACCTGTGTGATAGGTAGCATATTACCACTAGCATACCCCGTTGTTGATTCAGAAAATTACACATCATGGAGGTGGTTTTTTGAGCAATTCAAACATGCATATGGTAAAAAATCAAATATGAGTGTTGTTTTGGACTGGGATGAGAGTATCTTGAAGGCAACATCTACTGGTTATACTGGCATGCCACATTATGCTTGCATGTGGCATATTTGGACAAATGTAAGGTTAGAGTTCAAGAAGGGTCATCTAAAGTTAAGCGAATTATACTTTGCCATGGCACGATCATACACGCTTGATGAATTTAATGAAAGAATATCAAATATTGAAGAGATCGACACACGTGTTAAAGCATACCTACCCGATATTGGCTATCACGGATGGTCTCGGGTACATGCTACGGTGAACGGAATATGGACGATGACATCAAATATTACAGAGTCATTGAATGCGGTAACCAAAGATGCAAGAGAGCTACCCGTAGTAGAACTATTAAAGTACATGAGGACTCTTCTTGAACGTTCGACTAATGAAAAGTTATTGAATGAAAATGGTACGTTCACATACCTTGGGAAAAAATACAACAAAGAGCTGGAGGACAACATGACATTATCGCAGAAGATGAGAGTAAGCTAAAGCCAATAATATGAGATCATTGATTCCATCAAACTAAATATATACTATTAATTGTAGAAAAGTTGTTGTATAATTGTAGTTATTTTATTTTGTATCCGTTGCTGATAACTTGTTGTGTGTTTGTAATGAAATTGTAGGTGAGGGCTTCAACAAATTACATCCATATTGTGATAGATGGTGTGAAGCATTTCATTGTTTGCCTTCAAAACAAGAGATGTAGTTATGGACAATTCTACCTTGATGAACTTTCTTGTGCACATGCTTTGGCGGCTTTGAGGCACATGAACGAGTCTTATGAAAACTATTGTTCTCCTTATTACATGAGGGATAGCCTTCAACAGACTTATGAAATACTAGTAGACCCGCTGCCTAATAAAAGCAAATGGAATGTGCCACAACATATAGCTGAAGAAGTTATAAAGCCACCTACCGGTAAAAGGCAGTCAGAGAGACCTCAAAAACAAAGATACAAATCATATGATGAAGTAAATGCAAAATATTACAAGGTTTCATGTGGCAACTGCGGACTAGAAGGGCATAACAAAAGATCTTGTAGGAATGCTCCCAAAAGGAAATAAAAATTGATGCAGTTTAAAGTTTTTTTTACTGAGTACTATTGATGATAATCTGTCCTTTAAGACATAAAAAGTTATATTTGTTATGTTCTGGAGAATTATAGTTGTAGTGTAATTGTGTTACTAATTTGAATAAAGAT